ATAGAGTAGAGCGGGGATAATAGCGTCTCTGAGGCAGAGTGAAGGGCATCATGGCATCTGAGAGCGTCACCAGGCAGGCAAGGGAAGCTGGAGCCATCCTGGAGCCGTGGGCCCAGGACGGGCCTGGCCTCAGGGCACAATCTGCCCCTCGTCATTCATTGTGACGCCTGCTGCTTCTCCAGCCAGCCTTTGGGTGGTGGTGCCATGGGATGTGGCAGACTCTGGATGGACAGGGAGGCCTCTGGCACAGTTGTCATGCCCTGGGTGTTGGCTGAGATCCGGGACAGATACGTGTGGTAGACCAGGCCTGGGTGACTGATCCCACTGAAGTTCCTCTCCTCCCTTGCTGTGATCACAGGGGGCTCAGGTCTGGCTGGCATGCAGGCAATGGAGGGGCCCTACAAAGGCAAGATTGCACCCCAGAATCAGGAGGACAGAGTGGTTGCTCCTGTGTTGCCTGGTGGCCACGTGCTAGAGAGAGAGTTAGTCAGTTTCCAGGCTTGTTCATTCACATGAATGGCAGGGAGCTTGATGTTCGCCTGTGTGTGTGTGTGTGTGCGCGCGTGTGCATGCGTGTGTGTGCATGCATGCATGTGTGTGCGTGCGCATGTGCTCATGTGTGTTTGTGAAAGGCAGCAGGATGAAGGTCACCTGGAGGAAAGGTCTTCCTCCCCACCTGCAGCCTCTCCCTCAGAGGCGAGGGGCTGGCCCACCCCTGGCTCTGGTTCTCTCTGCCAGGTCCTCACCTCCGCGTCCCACTCAGTGTGGGCCACGGTGACTCACTGGCCCTGGAGCAGGAGGACACGAGGCTACCCTCCGCCACGCGCTGCTCCAGTGCCTTCTGCTGCCCGCTGTGGGATGACTAAGGAGCTGTGACTCATGGGCTGGGGACAGCACGCACACCCAGGGGTCAGCCAAGGGCAGCCAGTTTGTGGCCAACCCAGCCACCTGTCGGCCAGGACTGGCTGTTGGGTAAGTGCCCGCGTCCCTTTGTTCAAAGAGGAGATTCTGCAGCCCTGGCTGGTGAGGGGAATCCACACACTAGGCCTGAGACACTGCAAAGCCTAAGGAATAGAGCACTGGGGTCAGGATGACAAAGAGCAATCTTGGAAAGAATGGAGCATCATCTTTCTAAGAGCGTATCCATGCCTATATGAGCAGTTTGCCTTCCCAGATCCAACAGAGTATTTCCTAAATATGCTGAATACTCTTGGTGACTGTAATCACCAGGGCCGCGTTCCATCACATGCCAGTTCTGTAAATATGACTCCCCAAAGCAATAAAGACAGCCAGGTGCCAGTGGTTCACATCTGTAATACTAACCACTCTGGAGGCTGAGATCTGGGGATCATGCTTCAAAGCCAGTCAGGGCAGGAAAATCCCTGAGACTTATCTCCAATTAACCACCAAAAAGCTGGAAGGAGAGCTGTGGTTCGAGTGGCCGAGTACCACCTTGAGTGAAAAAGCTACAGGACATTGTGAAGGGCCTGAGTTCAAGCCCCAGCACTGGCACAAAATAAATGAATGAATGATAGCAATGAAGAGTAAGGGAAGCCTCTTCATCTTCATGGTGAGGCCTTCTTGGGGTGTCAGTGTGCCTGGAGCCACAGGGTGGGGTTCCCAGGACAGCACCAGCCAAAGATGCATTAAGAGAGAATCTAGAAACAGAGCAGGTGCAGAGGGCTTGGTGAGGGAGAAACTGGTCTGTTCAGGAAATGGTTCTGGGATAACTTGGCAGCCTCGGGCCAGGATAGAACGGGTACCACTTTACTCTGCAGAACCCCGAAGGCCTAGACTGTGCTGACACAGGCAGGAAGTCTGCCTGCTCCCCCAAAGACTCTTACAGCTGAGAGGAGGGGAAACAGGACAGACTGTGACTCAAATGCCAAAAGCACCAAACAAAAAGATACCCACCACCACCCAAACCAAGAGATGAGCGGCAAAGTCAGCAATATTTACAGTGTACAACACAGAGTTTTAAAGACTGGCAGCCCACTCAGAGAAAGCTCTTGAAGTTTGAGAAAGAAAAGAACAAGAACTGAACAGATGGTTGAGTACCGATGGTTCGTGCCTGTAATCCTAGCTACCTGGGGGGATCATAGTGTGAAGAAATCACCCTCCCCCAAAAGTTCATGAGATCCCAATCTCAACCAATGGCTAAGCACACTGGCATGTGCCTGTAATACTAGCTTCTTGAGAGAGAGGTCAGGGAGATCGCAGTTGCAGACCAGCTTTGGCCAAAAAAGAAACTGACAGTGTTTGTGCAATTCCATTTCAATTCTTGTCATTGCAGCTCCAGCGGGAAGCTTAAATAGAAACATCATAGTCCACGCTTACCTGGGCAAAAAACAAGAGCCTATCTCAAAAAGTAGCAGGAAAGGGGCTGGGAAGGTGGCTCAGTGGTAGAGTGCTTGCCTTGCATGCATTAGGCCCTGGGTTCGATTCCTCAGCACCACATAAAGAAAAAAAAAGTAATAAGAGAAAACAAAAAGGGCTGGAGGAGGCACGGCTCACGTGCAGAATGCCTGCCTAGCTAACACAAAGGGCTGAGTTCAAACCCCAGCACTACCAAAAACCAAAAAGGACAGAACAGATAAAAAGTGGGCAAAAAATAAGCAGTAAACTGCAAGTTCACAGCAAACCTGGAGCTAGAATGATCTATTTAGTCCTCCTGCTGCCCTCAATGACGGTGCCGTGGGCCCGGCAAACGTGGGCCTGTTGACCGGCTGCCCCCCTGGACTTCCACGAGCCCCCCAGACAGACCGCTCCTTGGGCTGATCATCTCCTTCCTCGCACTGACAGAATCCAGCGGGCCCCACTCCTGATTCTCTGACTTGCACCAGCAGGCAGAGAACCTCGAGGGGCTCCCTTCAGGGATGCCCCATCCCCCCACCCCCTGCAGGAAATCAGGAAAGTTCTGGACCCAGCTATGAGCAGAATCCCATGTGTCCATTCTGATCTCTAAGCACCCTGCAGAAATGCCAGCCTTTGACTCCAGGTCAAACTTTTAATAAAGAAAATCCATCCACAGATGTTCTGCCATCAGCCAATATATTCAGTTATTGGAATTTGGGAGATTCAGTGGCAGGCGGTTGTTTTATTTGCTCTCTGGATGGAATCATTTTTCTCGCGTATTTAATCTCCTGGAGGAATACTTTCCCTAGCAAATAGTCAGACTGAGACAGCAAATCCATGCCGGACCTATTGGGTCATTATTCTGTCTTCCAGTGACTCATACGACAGGTATTTGTACGTTTGTATTTTACTGTGTCATTAAGGGAAAATTAGGCAGAAGTCAGCCCATAATGACAGCCTGTAATTACAGAACAACCTGCCTGCTGGCGCTTGGACAGGGCTCTATCACACCCTGAATAAAGTCAGTGGCCTTGCGGCTGAGTCCCGGCTTTATTCAGATACAGGGCTTTTATATTAATAGCCAGCTCCTCTGTCCCACGGGGGGATTTTGTATGCCGCCTCGCTTCGTGATCATTTGTAAACATGAAAGTATGAGAATGCCTCCCACTTCTCCCAGTTCTGATTGGAAGCTGGCCCTGCAGTAGGGCGCGAGGCTGCCGCGCTCAGAGAGCACCGCCAGCTAATGAGGCTGTAATTAAGGATTAGCTTCTCTCCCCTCCTTCGGGTCACGCGGCACGTGGCAGTAGATGATGGGGGTGGGGGGAGGGATGGGAATCACTCACTTTGGATGCCCAGAATCCCTCCCTCAAATCCCCAATTGTAGATCCTGGGAAGAAGGGGCTCTCATGTGGGGCCATGGGGGGCTGGGCCCAACAGAGGAAGTGCGGCTGTCAGTGGAAGCAGGGAAGTGGTGCCTCTGAAGCCAGGAGCAGGGACGGCGCGGGGGGTGGGGTGGGGGGGGAGGTAATGAGGGCTCTGTCTGGTGAGCCCGTAGGAAACAGGACTGGGAGGTGAGAGTGGGCACCACACTCTGTGTGGCAGCCTGAGCTGCTCATGGCCACCTGCCACTTACCCTCTGAGGAAGAGTCTTCAGGACCCTGAGGTCCCATGAGTGACTGGCCGAGTTCTCACCTCCAGAGCTCTCCACCTTCATCCTGTGCATGGTTACCCGGTCCAGGGTCAGATGACAAAGACACCTGCTGCGGCCAAGCTGGACAAGGCCCCACATGCCCACTGCTGCCCCTCCCCCAGCTGGCTTCCATGTGGGCCTGGGAACCGATACAGTCTATCCTTAGCAGTCCTCGACTCCACAGCACACACTGGTCAGCATGTATGTCCAAGCACCCCACTTCTCGGGCTTACCAATGCCCTGCCGGGGTGCCGGGGTGCTGGCTGCTTTCCCAGGAGGTCAGTTTGCCCACTGGCTGGTTCATGTGGCCCTCCCTACTGCCCTGCTATCTGCCCCGCTGAGGAGAGGCGGCTGACAGTAGTGGGGGGGTGAATGGGACAGCTCCCACACCCCTGCCAGGCCATGGAACCCAGTCTGGGCACCCTTTGGGTTCAGTGTGGGATAGGAGAGTGATTTCATGGTGTGTCCTCTCTGGCTGGTGTGAACCCCCTGTATGTTCCTGCAAGTCTCCAGTCATTGATCTGTGGCATGTCTACAGGCGCCCCCAGTCTGCTTAGACGTGGGGGTCCCTTGGGATTCCTCAGATACTGTCACGTTTCAGGATCTCTGGGGCCCCAGGGGGAGCTGCCCAGCTCTTCAGTGAGACAGCTACAGGCTAGTTTGCCTGTCCTGATGTTGTCTGGGAGCCACCTACCACGTCAGGCCCATCGATGGTGGGTGGGGAGCCCTAGGAGGAGATGGATGGGGTGCAGGAGTGGAGGGCAAGCCCCCAAGCCTGGAAGGCACCTCAGATTCACCCCAGGGGGAGGCAAACTAATGCTCAGTTCCAACTCTGGGGTGGAACAGGACCACTACCCGCCCTCCTCCAGAATGCATGCGTGAGGATCTGGAACATTCCATCACCTTAGAAACCCCCAGAAATGACAAGTGAAGCCAAAACAGCTCCTAATGCTTTTATTGTTCCTTAGATAACTGGAGAGTACAAACTTTCCCTCTTTTTTTCTTTAAATTAAAAAAAAGGACCTTTCCACACACAATTGCCCTCATGAATTTCCTTCCATTGGAAACGAACGTTTCCCAAGCCCTTCCCATCCACGGATGCACAAGTCAGATAATTTAACAAGGAGAAGTCCCTCAATTATTATCCACACGGACTTGACTATGTCTCTATAAGGGTGAACACTGATTTTTTTTTAATTTTTATTTTTTTACTTTTTAGAAACAAAAACCATCCACGTATGAATCCAAACTACAGCATTGCATTACAGCATTCGTTGCATAAACTGAACACATGGAGTTACCACCTCAAGAATAACAGACGCACATTGCACAACACGGCTACAGGGTACAAAGTCCAAACAACGTGCTACAGCAATCACTCTATGCACGCCCACCATTGTTTCAGGAAATACTAGACATGGGTCCAGGAGCTACCAGGGATCTCGGCACAGTTAATCTAAGAGACAACAATGGCAGTTGGGATGGCGTGTGGGTTAAACCAACCTGTCCCTGAGCACTGCCCGCCTGGGTGCGGGTGCTCTCAGGCCATCACAACTATCGGTGCCAACCACGACCTAAAGAAATGTCCATGCGATCCTAACAGTGGGTTGTTCTTGGGTGAAAGTGGCCAACAGTCGTTGCCTTATTTCTTTAGTATGGTATTTGACCAGAGAGGAACTGGAGGGTAAGGGGAACGGGTGGAGAGAACCAGGGGGCTTGGGGGCTGCAGTTCCAGCTGCAAGTACAGGGGTTTCTTCTGCAATCTATGGTCTTCCGGCTACCAGCGGGAGGAAGGCAGAGGCAACGCTACCCCTGGGTGTTGATGATTTCTCAACATTAGTCATCGTTAGTCTTCGTAGTATGATTTTGGTAGCTGGTTCACAGGAGGGGGGGGTCCTCAGCAGGGGAGGACTCGGACCCTAGGTGTGGGGACAGGAGGAGCTACAACTCATCCGAGCGGATGACATGGAAGAGGGTGACGTTGTAGAGGGTCTGGTGTCCATTGTTCCACGCATACAGCGCGCGGTCCTTGGGGTTGTAGTCTAGCATGGAGATGTGGGAGTACTTGTTCTGGAAGGGGATGTCGATGTACTCGTAGGTGGAGGCGTTGGTCTGGTAGGCATAGTGGACCTTGGTGCCCCCCGAGTAGCCGTTGGTGACGTAGAGGGTCCCGCAGATGATGAAGGCCTCGCCGGCGCTGCGCTTGGGGTAGCTGGTGTTCCAGGTCTGCAGGATCTGCAGCGAGACGGGGTCCAGCTTGCTGATGACGATGTTCCCGGCGTTCTGGTTGGTGGCGTAGACGGCCCACAACCCGTTCTCGTCCACCATGAGGTCGATGTCCGAGTGGCCGCCCCACGCATAGTGGTACATGTTGTTGTAGCCCGCATAGTCCAGGCTGCGCGTCTTGAGAATCGTCTCGGTTCTCAGGTCGAACCTGATGATGATGTGGCTCTGGAACTTGTTGAAGTAGATGGAGCCGTTGTAGACCACCTGCCCCGTGCCCGACCAGGGGTGCGGGAGGCGGTGGGAGGTGAAGTTGTCTGTGTTCATGAAGTCCACCATGGACCTGTACTCTCGGACAAAGCGGTTGTTGTGGTAACCGTCCATGTACCAGACCTGTGGAGAGAGCGTGCCTGGTCAGTGCTCCCAGAGTGGGGAGAGGCGGGAGGGGGCGTGGAGAGGCAGAGGGCCAGTGGGGCTTCCACGGGCAGGGGGTGTGTGGAATCCAGCCCCCACTGAGCATCTACAAGAGAAGGGGCTGAAGCCGGCGCAGTGGCACGCTCCTGCTATCCTTGACACTTGGGAGGCAGAGGTCAGGACTGAGATGCCAGGCCGGACCAAGCACAAAGCTGAGACACCAAACTCATCCACACACACACACAAAGGCTAGAGATTATCCCATCTTCCCTCCAGATCCAGGAGGCCTTGTTCAGAAGGGACAGGACTATTCTCCTATCAGAGAAAGGATATAGGGTGGCACTTGCATTTGTTTACTCTACTCTGGCTGAGGGCCTGAGAAAGGAGTTCCTGTCCTGCAGAGGACTCAAGGCTGGAATGACAGGGCTGGGCAGGGCACAGATGCTCACACACCAGGTAGTTTCCATCTGCAGGGCCAATGGATTCTCAAGGTCACAGGGAAAGGCTAGGGGGAAACACAGGGCAGGCAGCCTCTGCACCCCGCCAGGCCGCACCGAGGGGAACTGAGTCATCACGTCTGCCTTTGGGATACTGGGAGTGTGGTCACCCGGGGTCAGATCCAATCCAGGGAAAGTGGCTTTTAAAGAAATATGAGGTCTTCCCAGAAGGCTCTGGCTGTCCAAATCAAGCAAGATAACAAACGCAGTGCTGGGCCGGGTCTGGGGGTACAGAGGGTGATTGCCGACACCTGCTTCAATGCCAGTAAACCTGAGAACTGTCTAGACTTCGAACCAAACACTAACCAATATGGGAGTAAATGAGAATGCAGAGCAGTTAGCAGAGGAAATCTGGCAGCTAATGCTGCTCCCAGGGCATCTGTCTGGCGGTGAGACAGCTGCTTTATCCATCAAGAGCTCTAGAAGCTTCAGGAGAGATTAAGGATTCTGCTCCCAGGCTTGGCATGACACATACGATAAAAATTAAAAAAAAAAACCATAACCTTGTTCCTGAGACATCCATTCAGATGCTCAGAGGCAGATGTGCTTTTTTGTTTTTAATGAGATTTAAAAAAAAAAAAACAGAAAAAAAAAAGAACTGGGTCTCATTTGTGGCTATTATCTCTCTCCTCCTTCAGACGCACCCTCATGGTCATGGGCTAGAGGGGCGCAGAACTCCCTTGATGTTGCTGGGAAGTGGTCCGGCCCCTACCCTCTAATCCCTCTGCCTGGCTGCTGGTCTCAAAACAGAGCTCTACTTCCTTCCTGCTTTGGCTACAAAGATCATCCTCCCGGCTTTCCCAAGCCCACCTCTAAACCAAGCCCATCTCCTTCCCCCAGTGTGTCTCCATTCCAGCCCCTAACATGGGGCCCTGGATATTGAGGAACAAGTGATTCGTCCCATAAGGGTCCCTAAGGGTCCAATACCTCCTTCCTGGGGTGGTGGGGGGGGTATGACAGAACTAGTTGACCTGTATACCAATTCACTAGGGATGACCTTCTCTTCCACCAATGCACAATGAGACACAAGGTACAGCGCCTTCTGAAAACATAGTTCAGGTAGCAGGGGCTGAGTGTTCCCAGGGGTCTGGGCTGGCTGTGGCTCAGGGAAGGGGGCCAGGAGGCAACCTGTCAATGTGCGTGGTGTAAACACCCCCCGCTCTCCCCAGATGAGCCTGTGACAGGTGAGGAGAAGCCACTCTTGGCAATGCCAGCCGTGTAATCGGAAGCCGAAGGGCCCTGTGACAAAGTGACCCGTGCAGTGTTCCTGGAGACCACTACTCTCAGTCCTCAAGCTCAGAGGGGACCAGAGCGTCTCCTTGGGGGCCAAGCGGCCAGCAGCGGCTGGCTGCTACCTGCCTTTCCACGTGGAAACAAGCACCTGCCCGTTTAGTTCCTCTCAGGCAGTGACCTATGGCCTCCCTGGGCTGTAGTGACCCCACCTGGGGTTATTTCCACCCAGATCCCCAGGTCTGCTTTCACCTTGCCCCACAAAGCAGGTACCACCCCCTGGCGTGCACTACAGGGGAAAGCGAGTCTCTAGACAATCTTCTAATACCTCACCACCCCACGCCCAGGCCCTTGTCTCTGGCCCCTCCTTCTGCCCCAGTTCACTAAGAACGTCTGGCGGTCACCGGGTGGGCACAGGTAACTGGGAGATGCACACTTAGGCTGAGTGACTTCCAAGCCTCTGTGCCCAGCTTGGGGTCACACTACCCCCCACCCCCATCCCGGACTGTAACAGCAGGGAATCCCTAGCGATAGCCACAGACGTCACCAGGCAGCTCTACAGGGTGGGTGGGGGTCAGATGACCAAGAATGGCCCAGCTCCAGGATCTGGGGGCTCATAAGCCCATGCTGGAGCCCAGGCCTCCCAGACACAGCAGTGGGGCCCCGGAACCAGCCTTCCTCCTCAGATGGCCGCAGCAGCGCACGGACACACGACTCAACCCCAGCACAGGCTGATAGGGCCTGGGGGTACAACCACATGTCCATCTCCCTGGCCTTTCCTGGGAACTGGAATGAGCCTACCCAATCCTCCACCCCATCCACAAAGTCCTCTGCCGAAGGAGACGAAACAGCTCCAGCCCTCCCTTCCCTTCCACGTGTGCTTGCCACGTCCGTCCGCTGAGGACCAGCACACAACACCGCCTCCCACAAAGGGAAAGCAGGCCTCCCCACGTCCCGCCTGCAGTCCAGGCCTATGTGATGGTCCTTCCTGAGGGCACCAAGTTTCCCCATTTTCAGTGAAGAGGACCAAGGAGGTCCAGGACAGGGCCGGTGCGGGTTGTCTGTTCCCACGGTGAATCGGAACTTCCTTACAAAACACTTCTGGTGCTTGCAGAAGGAGCGTGGGGAGGCGCCCAGCAATGCTATTTAAAAGGCTTTCCTTCGGAACTTAGGTCCTAGTTTGCACTTCCCTGGGGCTTGGCAGGCATCGGTCATGCGTCCTCCTGCGAGAACTGCTCACATCAAGAAAGCTGATGCCGGAGAAGATGCTCAAAAAGGAGCTGTTAGTTGAAGGGGAGGAGCGAGGGAAGTGGAGACAGAGCTGCTCCCCAGAGGGCCCTTGCTTCTGAAGTGAGCAGATTCGGTGGGGTGTCTAGGCTGGTAGAGCTGCAGGCCCTGCACACCGGCACAGCCTGATGCATTCTAGATAATTCCATCCTAGGATGCTAGTAAGCATCTGGAAGGCTCTGGCACTGTGCTAAGCTCTCTGTGGATGGTAAAGTGACAATGTTTTAGGAATTACACCAACCCCCCTTTGAACATGGGGTGGCAGGAGGGCCACATGTCTCCCCTTCCAGTGTGAACTGGGCCTGTGGTCCCTGCACAGTAGAGATCTCTCCACAGAGTAGCTGCAAGCCTCAGGATTAGGGACATGGCTCCCTGGGGCTTTTGGGGTGGAACCAGCCCAACAGGGGTCTTGTGCATCAGGTGGGGTGCTCGGCCAGGCCCCACAAAGCCCTTCCTTCCTCTAACACTTGTGATGTGGGCCAGGCCTCTGCCCAGGGCCTCACACAGGGGGACTCGGGGCACAGGACTGCACATCCAGTTGGTTCTTCAAAACAGACAGACAAAAGCCTGATGCAAAGGCATCCCAGGAGGACCTTGTTAGGCTCGGCACACGTGTGGCCCACACGGCCCTCAGCATGCACACCAATGGGGGTCTCCCTGTGTGTTCTCCCTGCCTCTTGGCTCCACCCCTCTCACCGTGCCCTTGACAGCAGCTGGCTCCGAAGCCATCATTGAGGCCTTTTTCCCCCTCTCTTGTGGAGAGTTATTGATCTCCTGAGCACGTGTGATCAACATTGGACAGGAGATTGAAAAAGATCAAAACAAAACAAAACATTACTGGTCCTGATTGGTGGTAGAACCAGGGGATGTGCCACTTCACAGGCCGGGGGAGAGTGGCCGGTCACTGTGCGGGGTGGGTGGGCTTAGAGCAGGCCGGGGGAGACCGGCCGCTGTGCTCAGAGCGGTCACCTGACAGTGCCCGTTCCTCCCGTTCCACCAACCCCTGACAGGAAGGCCTGCCCCCCACGGGTCTTTCCCACCCCTCCATCTGCTGCCAGAGCCTCCTGTCCTAGCAGGCAATGTAGTCATAAAGCAGAAAATAGATGTCTAATTACCCACAGTAGCATGGGCACCCTCTGGACAGCCTTGCTGATCCACCCTTGTCCTGCATGCAGAGCAAATGGGAGTCCTGGGTCCTCTGCATGTGGAAAACAGATCACTTAACTGGACCCCCCACAACCAGGGAGCGGAGGCCACACAGCCCCGGGGCTGGGCTGCAGAGCCCGATCAGTCAGCAGCTTCCTCCACAGCACCAAGGCCACCGCTACTCTCATCAGATCCCCACCCTGCCTGAAAGGATTTGTAGCTAGACTGGGGGGGGGGGAGATTGCAGAGGGAAGGCGGGGAGGGGCTCTGGGAGCATCAGGAGGCTCAGCCTGGGAGGTTAAGGAACAGCCACTGTGCCTGCCGCAGACTTGTTCTCAATGGTGCCAGGGACCCGCCTCCCAGGGAGCCCTGGGAAGGGCAAGGTCTTTCCGCACAGGTGCTAGGAGCTGGCTTCTCATCCTCCCTGAAAGGCAGAGGACCAGATGCTGGAGGGAGCTTGAAGGGAATGCTTGGAAAGGCTGGGGCACTGGCTCAGCGAGCCCAGACACCACGCAGACACAACAGTGCCCGGTGCCTTTGAGCTGCTTTTCGAGCATCTGTTGCCATTGTCTGGTCTTTATTTCCATATTATTATGATCATCGCCCGCATCTGCAGGGGGAAGGTGTTCCCCACTCCTAGCAGAGGTGCATTTTCTGGGTGGGATGTGGAGTAAAAGAACAATTGGAACAACAGGAACCTTCCAAGCATCAGCCATCGATGGAACTAGCCCTTTCCTACAAATGCTAGAACACAGCTGTAGCCCAGGTGCAGCCAGCCAGTCTTCCAGAACTCACAGGCCGCCAACTCGGGGCAAGGCTCAGCGGCCACGTGCCCGTCATGGGGTGAGGCAGTAAGGTCTCCACCGGCGTCTGCACAACTGCAACAGAGTCTAGAGGTCTGCCTAGCCATCCCTCCCCACTCCTCGGAGGGGCCACTTCTGGTTTCTGGGACAGGACAACTTCTAGAGGTCTGCCTAGCCATCCCTGCCCACTCCTCGGAGTAAAAAATGGGGTCAGAAATTTCAGGACAGGCAAGTCAGCCAGGCATTCCACTACAGATTCCCCAGACAGAGCTTCGAGGACCTAGAATTCCTCACTCCTCACAGAGGAGGAGCGGACAGCGCTCACCATCTGATTGTTCTGAAACCTGGGAAAGAAAAGGCAGGGGGAGAAATGCCAGACCCCACCTGGGAGGTCACTCCAGCCATGGTGATCAGGGTCATGTGGTACCAAAGGACACGGATCAAACTGCAGACAGCTTCCCTGCCTCCTCTGCCCCAGAGCTTCTGAGCCAGGAGCTGATCCATGCATGCATCCAGCAAGAGACGAGCAGCAGCCTCTGCCCTGGGCATCCACATGCCCTTCCCCCCTGCTTCCCCAAGCTCCCAGCCCTGGGGCTGAGCTCAGAACCCAGGGCCCAGGCGAGAGAAAGTAACCCAATCCCTCTCCACTTCTGAGGTCTGCCCAGGGGTGAAATGCCTAGGAAAAAAGAACAGGGCTTCTTCTTGAAATCAAAAAGGAACACCAGCCATGAAAGGAATGGCAAATGAAATACAAATGAGATGTCATTAAAACAAGAAAGGCCTAACGGATGCTCCCTCCCTGAAGCTCAGGCAGCAATGTGAACAGCTGGGAGGGGGGCACAGGAAAGGGCTAGACTCACCAGTCCAACCGGGCCACTTTGCAGAGCCATGCCTAAGGCTGCCACTGCCCCCGCTGTGGGTGTGCCCTCCCCGACTCCCACCCTGCTCCCCATAAGTCTCGAGTTAGCACAGGGGCTGGAGAAAGGGACCCAAAGTCTTCCCAGGACGAAGCCCCTTGGTGAGTTGCCTGGGTGTGGGCACAGTGGAATTGGGGTGAGGATGGAGACCAGTCCTGCCTGGCCTCTGCCTCCAGTGGCCCCCAGAACAAGAGGAGGAAACACTTACCCTGTTGTCACCTTCTGGGGCCAGCGGGTCTGTCATCCAGGACCCGAACCTCGAGCCAGAGGTCTTGACGGTCACCGGGTCACTAATGCCGGTCAACTTGCCGCAGGCTGGAACAGAGCACACAGTGGTCAGGCCTGGGAAACTAGGGGCCTTAGCCCACCCCTCCATGGCCCTACCCAGATGGCCAGTGGCCAAGCGGCTGCCTCCTACCCACAGACAGATGCGGACCCTGGCTCTCCGGCCCCCACGCCCAGGGGACAGAGAAGCCACACCTTCCTCTAAACCAAGCAAGTGAGGGAGGTATGTGCCAGCTCCTTGGGCCTCATCTGTCCTTGAAGAGCCCTGACCAGCAGAACTGGGGACAGGAGGCCAGAGCAGCCCCTCTGGAGGGAACTCAGCCTAAGCAAGGCTCCAATTTCTCCTCTAGAAGATGGGACAGCAATCGTTGAGGCTATGGGAGATAAAGCATCAGATGGGCCCAGCCTGCATCTTAGGCTCCACTCTAGACCCAAGACCAGGCTGGATTCCTTTCACAGCAGCCCACTCACCCTTGTAGCCAGCCCAGGAGGAAGGCTGGTGGGCCCCCAGTGGGGAGCTGGTGGGCTTTTCTCCTCTCCTACAGGCCCCAGGCCCCTGGGGTCCTTAGCATGTGACCTTGGCACCGCTCCCACCCTATAGTGGTGGCTGGAGACTATCAGGGACGTGCCCAGGGACACTCCTTCATCCGGGCTGTGGCCCAGAGCTCCTGGCCCAGCCTGCCATCCTCCTGCAGCCCCGTGGGCATCCAGCTTGTGTGTCCTGAGTGGGGCTTCACACCACTCCAAAACACCCCCCCAGCCCCCAAGCCACAGAGCTTATACAACACACCCATCTCAGCCCCCTAGTTGAGTGAAATGCTGCCACGCTGTGTGTGTGGGGGGGGGTGGTGGGGAGTAGTGGGTCCCTAACCTGTAGGTGCAGCTGATAAAGGACCCCCTAATGTCCTTTTCCATCTCCCACCAGGCCTTCTAAGTCCACAGGCCCCCCTCGAGGGCCTGCATTAGCGTATGTACACAGCTGTCTGCAAAGTTCAGAAGAGATCCGGTGCTTATGGAAGATTGTCAGCGACTTAACCTGGGGACCATAAGGAAGCCAGGATAATCCCTACAGCACAGAGGGTCGAGCCAGGCTGGGGGAGGGTGTGGCCTGGCTCCCTCGGTGCCATCTCCGGGTGTTCCCCGCCAGACCTGAAGTGGGCTGAGCATAGCTGGTGGGGAGGGGGCCGCTGGGCAGTGGGAGGCTTGGTGGGATTAAGAGCCTGTTGCAAGCAGATGCAAACCCAGCGCGGAGTCCAGATTCCCAACCGAGTTCCCCACTCTTGTGCCTCCATCCAGGGCCCACTTTGCAGCCCTCCCTGCTCGCGGGAGATGCCTGGCTGTGCTCCCACAGCCAGGGAAAAGGGTCTGCCTGGCTCACCACTGACCCCAAGGCCCCACTCTGAACAAACTTTGGTCTGGAAAGAGACTGGGCAAAGCCGGGGTGGGGAGGAGGGGGTGATGGCCAAGGTTAACCAGTGTTGATGCCTGGGAATGAGAAATACATTCTTGGAAATCTCATGGGCTGAGTCTTCGACCAACTATTCACGGCAGTGCCTATGAGGGATTTGAGTGGGGCTGGTTTCCTGTGGAGGAGGAAGGCCCTTGGAAGGAGGAGGGAGACCCGAGGAGGAGGAGGAGGAGGGTCCACGCTGGACTCCACTCACACCTCCAGCCTTCCTGCTTTGCTGGACCATGGAGAGACAGCAGCTCCCCCTGAACCTGGTGCTCAACAGGGCCGACTTCCCCACCAGCTCTCCTCCCAGTCCCTCCCTACCATCCAGAGATAACCAAGGTGGCATTGGGCCCACTGTGGACTTCCTGTGGATGGATGTCTGGGTTTGCATATCCATCCTATGAGCAACCTGGAAGGGGAGGGCCAGAGAAGCCGTGGCCTTGCAGGGTGTCATGCTGGGAGACCCAAGCAGACCCAAGGCAGTGGCTCTTCCGACCAAGGGCACATGGTGTGCCTGGCTGTCTTGTATCGAGTCTTCTACGACTCAAGCTAGAGCTAAAGCTGTCCTAACCCGGCAGGAGGCCCCTCGCAGATCGGATTGTTTCCACCGAAGGAGAGCAGACATCTGTGCTGCTCATCACCTGCGGGCAGCAGAGGCGGCGGTGCGGGCCCACCCCAGCCCGGGCCAGCCTTCCCTGCCAGCACCACACCTGCTCCGGAACACCAGCCCTGCCTTCCCTCTCCGCATCCAGGACTACACCCAGGCTTGGGCCCTCAAGACCTCCTCATCCTGAACCCCATCCCTCCACCCTGAGCTGGCAGGTGTCTCCCGATTTCCTGAGGTTGTCTACGTGGGCCTCCTGGCACACTGCTTCAGGCTAAGAGGGTTGCTCTTCCTGGCTCCTCTAAACTAACGGATGGAGGAGCAGGGATGTTGAGGGGAGGGGATTGAGGAGCACCCAGAAGCTCCTCCTGAGCACTGGGGACAAGGAGGGAAGCAGGGGGAGCCCCTTCCCCGGGATGCACCCCATCCCAGTGCTGCCCACATTCACTCCTGCCGTGAAGAAATAGGGAGAGCAAGACATGTACCCTCAGAGAGGTCGCAATGGAAGCTTCCACAACATGCCTGCCAGCTTCTTCAGAGTTCACAGACAGGGGGCTTTGCTCTCAATCAAGCTCAGGCCCCATGGCCTCCCAGGGGGCCTGCCCGCCCTGTACTATGGGCCACCTTGGGAAGCTAGCTGTGAGCCCTGGAGTCGCGGCTCACAGCCTGCCAGCACAGGGCTTCCTCCTCCTGCACCAGGCCCCCACTCGCACAGTTGGCCTTGGAGCCAGCCTCCTAATCCTAGCTGAGGACAGCCAGGAAGTGTGGCCAGTGCAGGTACCCTGCCCTCCTGGAGTCCACGGGGCTGGAGGCTGCCCTCCCTTCTTGAGTCATTGAGTTATTTTTGGTTCTCCATCCAGACTGGCTCTGCCAAGACCTGGGGAACTGACAGGATCTATAAAAGCCATGACAGAGCCTTGGCACAATCTTGGCACATCCAGGTCGGGAAAGTGCCCTTTTCCCAGTGTGTTCGGGACACAGGCACGGGGGGGGGGCAGGGGAGACGGGAAGCGAGGGAGGCAAGCAGGACTTTGGCACTAGAGGCTCAGGAAATACCTGCAGATTCCATCCCAGAAGAAAGTGAGCAGGGCCCAGGCAGGGCCCAGGCAGGGGTGGGTCTCAGGGTGGCGGGGGCTGCCAAGCAGAGAGCTACAGCAGCCAAAAGCCCCAGGATGACACCCTGTGACACTTGTACATTTGGAGGAAGGCACTCAGAGCAGCCTGGACAGTCCCAGGGGAGAAGCCGAGTGCAAGCCACCCGGGGGGTTGGAGTATCAGAAGCAGGCTTCCTAGGCCTGGCCTGCCTCCAGCCTCTTTTCCTTTCAACCTCACAAGCTCAGTTTGTAGAGAGAGCTGGGAGCAAAGGGATGAGATGAGAGCAGCCGATCAGGCCCACAATCCACCGGGGTGAGTGCCCCGGGGCGGGATGGGGCATTCTGCATCCTCTAGTGGCTTCTTGCTCTGGAAGGGAAGCTCTTGGTGTACACCGCCCTGGCTGGGGGGAGAAGAGCCAGCAGGATTGGCTAAGGTATGTCCTTAGGGGAACAAAAGATCCCCAGCTGACCCTGGGTGTTTGGGGGCTTCCAACTGTCCCTCTCAACACCCTCCCCACACCTCCCCCCCATTGTGATCCAGGCCAGCTGAGACTGGGGGGGCACAGCCTGTGCCTGAGGCCGAGATTGTTCAGGCCTTGCTCAGGTTAGCCTGGGATCTGACTGCAGCCCAGGCTCCAGCTCAGGGGGTGATGACTCACAGCTGGGCAGTACTGCCTCCCTTGTCAGGGGACAAGACTTGCTCCCTCTCGAAGGGAGGAGGCTGGGTTCCACCATGGTGGCTAGAGTTTAGATTCAAGTTCCTGGCTAGGCCACCAGAAAAAACAAAAACAAAAAAACCATGCAGTTCCATGGAGAGAGCGTCAGTCCTGCTGCTAGTGCCTGCCTGTGCTCTGGTCAACATAGATTGGAAGGAAGGAGGCAGCCAGGACAGACCTCATTAAGACTCTGAGACTTCCCTCCTCACCAGCCAGGAGTCCTTGTCAGGCCTCACAGCTACAGAGACGGAGTGGGGACTGTCGTCGGGGGTGGGGGAGGGAGGGGGACTGTGGCGAGGGGAGGGAAGCTACCAGCCACTACCTCTTAGGGACAGCAGTAAGTGTCACCCACAGCCAGAAGCTGAAGCTTGGGCAGCTGTCACCAAGGAGGCACGCTGACAGAATAGTCCTGAGACAGGGCCTATGTGCAAAGCTAAAAACAAAGACTAAATTAAGCAGATACAGGACATTAATTGGATCCTTAAGTTACTGAGCTGAATCAAAGCCCGGGAAGAAGGAGGGCTACCTATTGGGCAATCACTCAGTCATCTATTGATCGTCTGTCTTTCCACTTACCAGCCATCCAGCTATCTGTTTATCCATCCATCCATGGATTCACTCATCCATCCATCTCCTCATCCATCTATCCATTCACTTATCCACTGACTCATCTACATCTATCCATCCATCCATTCATCTATCCATCCATCCACTGACTACATACCTAGCTGATCTGCCTACCTACCTGTTTACCAAGCTACCTGCCACCACGACCTCTCAAATGGTGTTAGCCGGCAACATGAATAACATTATGAATTCTTATAGTGACCCCAGGGACTGCCTGCCCCCTTGTGTTACAGACACAGAGGCAGCGGACAAGCTAGTAACTACCATGTGAGTCACACAGCACTGCCACCTCTAGACCACGGTGCTCACAGCTGGCTCTGCAAGAACCCACTGAGAGCTGAGTGTGAATGGCACCCCACCTGCAGCCACTCTCATCCTGGTGTCTGTGTGTGTGTGTCACAGCCCTTCTGAGAGGAGCAGTGACCAGGCACCCTGGGGAGGGGGAAGGAAGCCACACACGCAGCTCTGAGGGCCTTGCTATTCTCTCTTTACCAGCCAAGGGCAGCCGTGTGAAAGACTCAAGACCCTACGCTATAAGGTGAACTCATCCAGGTGCTAAAAATAGGCTGGGACCAGATTTGAAGTCTGGCTCACTGGAGCATCTAAGGCCAGCAGCCCTTCCCATACTGGGGCTTGGGCTCCACAGGGCCCAGAACTGAGAAATCATGCAAGAGACCATCACTCAGGGACATAGCAAGGGCATCTCACAAAATGGGAAGACCTCAAACTCCCAGTGTAGCCCACGGTCCTCCTCGGGGGCCCATAAGTGAACACTCATGGGGGCTGCTGGGGCCAGCACCTGGGGAAGGCCAGGCAAACATCACTTCCCCACACTCTCCAATGAATGACACAGGAGTTTTAAATTCCTAACGAGGCAGGCTGGGAGGCCTGGGTAAAAAGGAAAGCTGCATCATGAGGTGGAGCCTCAGAAATTCTTCACAAGGCAAAATCACCCCAAGACTCCCCCAGCATAACCCTAAAGAACGTGTACAACGTGAAAATGACCGGGATTGTGTTAAGAGCGGGCGAGGAGGCCTGCCTGGCTCATCTTTGTGAGGATGAGGATATAAAATGGGAACTCTAAAACAGACCCAGCATTTTGCAAGTTCAGATTAGCTAGTTACTAATCAGAAAGCAGGAGAGGGAAGCCTGAGAACTTGGAGGCCACCGCCCGGTGAGCCTGATGAAGAACTCTGAGAGAAAGGTCGCTGGCTTCCAGGGTCAAGGGCCCCTCCCTGGTAACCGCAGGTTACCAGGCTTTCACGATTCACCATTGCAAGGAAGTTCATCAGCTCTGTCCTCAACCTGGATGAGGATTGTAGTTCCTAGCCCTACTGAACCTGTCTTAAAAACACTTGCGCGTGCACACCTGCACACACACACACACACACACATAATCATTGGATGGTATTTGGCATTTACCACCACCTGGCTTCCTTCCAGATATGCCACTCAGAGGGGTCTGGCACAGGGCGTGGACACATGGGTGGGTTCTGTCTACACTTCCTGTTGCTATCCTTCTGGGCGGGCCTGCCCGGGAGCCCTAATTCAGCAGTCACCAGCCGGCCAGGGCCAGGCGGGAGCTGTCCCTTCAGCACTACTCCTTGCCCTGGGCATGTTCTGGGGCGGGCAGGGCAGTGCCACGCCCTCAGGGTGCTGGGCCTACCTAGTTTTTGCATGCATGCACGGAGCCTTTCTTCAAGATTGGACACTCTGCTCTGAAGTTCATCGTAGTCATAGGCGCCAATTTCCTCTTGCAGCTCGTTAAGGACTGACGTCAGATTCTGGACCTCCTCTTTAAACTGCAATACCAATTTGGCATCGGCCTTGTACTCCTCCAACACAGGTATCAAAGGCCTAAGTTCATCCATTTTCGCTTTAATTGCCTGCAAGGTTAAAATAAGCTGGGTTCAGTGCGATGCACGCAAGAACTCGTTACACCCTACCTCAGCCTGGCTACTCCGTACGCGAGGCAGGCTGGACGTCCCACTCCAGTTATCCGCACTTATCCTGGTCCACAGGAGTCAGGAGAGCAGAGTAAACAGTCCTCAGCACACCAACATATTTGGGAAAGGTCTTTATTGTCAGTTTAGAATGCAACATCTTAAAGTTACATGCTTAAAGTCACATACACAAAGTTCTTTTTTTTTTCTTTCTTTTTCAAAAAATGCATTGACAAGGATTCAAACTATTCGTGAAATGCATCTAAAGTCGCATGCATGGGAGGATCCCGCTTGGGTTCAAGGCTCCTCAGTGATAGGGTGCTAAGGATTAGAAAATAATCATAGTAAAAATGCATGGTGCAAAAAGCTCTCTGGCTCTTTCATGGTTACATAGGACTGGCTGCTTCTTCAGTCTCTGCAGCATTGAAAAAACGCTTTTAAGTTAGCCCTGCAAGCAAGAAAACGAAAGACTGTTGAAACGCTAGCTCGCTAGCCTGCCTTAAATAGACAAATCACAATTCAACACTAGTGAAACACAATGGCTTTCCTCCTGACTCGAATGCCCTCACAAGTTTTGCTAGGGCTCCTATCTAGGCTGAACATGACTCCGGAACTCTGTGGACAGCGCTCACCAGGTAAGCGACTTCATGCTGCTGTACCCACACTCCTGAGCAGTGTACCCAGCTTGGGGGAGGAGGGGGCGGCTCTGGACAGCCAGGGAGAGTCACCCCCAAGGACCAAGAATGTCCACTGGCCAGAACAGGCGCAACTGGTTCATCTCACCTGGGCAGACCCAGGCCTACTACTATTTTATTTATAATACGGATTTAGAACTTCATTAGCGCGACTATCTACTGCATGGCTTTTAAAGGAGGATTAGCTCTTGCTTCCCATCAGAAACACATCAAAGAAAACATTAGCATAAAGAGACAGGAAGCAAGAGAGAACACGCCAGCAATTTCCAGCCAAGTCAGGCTGTGTGATTTGACCTGATCGCTTACATCTGGGCCAGATTCTCAATCGTCATGCATATACGTGTGTCTTCATTAAAGGGCCTACAACCTCTCAGCGTGGACGCAGCAAACTGTCGGGGTATATATACATACCTGTACATATGTATATATAATTTCAGGTCAAGGGAAGTGCGGGTTTAACATCCAGAGTCACCTGGAGAACAGAGCTCTCACTATGAGCTGAGAAAAGCATTGCTCCAATTTCCCCCTGTGCCTATAGTCTATGATGCCCTGCCACAGTTAAATCAGGTCAGATGTGAAAAACCGCCCTGAGTGATCTCTGCCCAGCAATGGCTCTAATCAATTAAGCTAATCCTTCACTAATATGATTCACCTGGACTGACAGGGCCTGACAATCACCTTCCTGCCCAGCTAATGTGCCAGAGGCAGCTGGGGATCTGGTCTGGTCTCATTCCTCCCCTCCCCATGCAGACTGATGGAGGAGGCTCTGAGGCCAGCTGGTGCCACAGCCCTGGCTCCAGCGCCACGCCCCTCCCTTCCCCCCTGCAGGGCCCAGGACAGAGGACCTTTGCAGGGCAGACATCCAGGCCCCAAGCACTATTTCTGTGGGGACAGGGAACGGAGAAGGGGGAGAGAAAAAGAGGAAGAGGAGAAAGGAAGAAAGGGAAGAGGAGGCTAGAGAGGCAGAGAGGTTAAGAGTAGAAAGGAGAAGGGGAGAAGGGGGAGATGAAGAGGAAAGGAAAGGAGAGGAGGGGAAGAGGAAGAGGAGGGAACAAGAGGAGGAGGGGAGGAGGAAGGGAGGAGGGGAGGGGGAATACATACCTTGAACTGCCTGGCCAGGTGCTGCTTATGGCTCTCCTCCACCTGTTTGAACTTGGACTCCAACCCCTTCATTTGGTTCTCCATCTTCTCCACGTACTGCAGGTCCCTCTGAGTCCTCCTGTCCAGTACCTCTATGGACTGAGACATGTTTTGCACCTGTGGAAGGGTAAGAGGTTCAAGGCTGAGAACCAGCATGGTCCTCTCTGCCATCTCAGCGGCCTGTTCGGGAGCCGCGCCGGCCCCTCCCTCACGGCCCCGAGGCGGGAGCCAGCAGCACCCATGCATCGTGCCCCAGTTACCTGGCAGCCTGGGGCTGTGAGGACTGAGAACCCCCGCAAATGCAGTAAGAGCTCAGCGACCTTCCCTCATCCCTGAGGGCTCAGTCAGGGCGGAGGGCTAGGGGTCACCCCTCCTCTATTTTTGGGTTCTCTTTAGTCTTACTGGGTAAATGGTGGAGATGAACGGAGGCATCTGGCACAAACCCGCCTCTCCCCTAAGCCCCGCTGAGTGTCTTGCTGGGACAGTTGGTGGCCTCTTCCCCGCCCCCCCCTCCGCCATCCACCTCCGCCATCCATCATGCCCTCCAATATCATGGGCTGATGACGGCTCGGCAAATGCACACATTCAGAACCCAGAGTTGGGAATCAATCACCAGTGAATGAAGAATCGCTGTTTTACATCCTGGCGGGCAGATCCGAATGAGCCTCGCCTGGAGATGGGACTTAATATTCAATAGGATTCCAGAGGGCTTAAAAGAAAAACAGTTTGGGTGCAGCCGCCTGCCAGCATATCTCATTTCCAGGAAACTGGCTTGGGCTGGCGTGCAAACACATTGTGTGTGTGTGTGTGTGTGTGTGTGTGTTGAAAGAGGGAAGGAGGAGGATGCTGCTGCCCAGTTGGGTCATTTTCACAGCATCTAATCCAATTACTAGGGAGGAGGGTGGCAGTCTAACAGCAAATCTTCATGGCTGATTTTCTGCTGAATTTGAAAACCCTCTCTCTTCCTGGGGAACGGAGTCAGCCAGCAGGAGGCCCCTGCTTGGGGTTCAGTGGCCAGACCAGGCCCCTAGACTCCCCGTAAATCCCCTGCTGGCAAAGCACAATAAACAGGAGAAAGCAAATGGAAAGCCGCCTCCTTTGGGCAGATGGCTGGTATTGCTGAGCTCAGCACTTAGGGCTTGTGATGGGAAAGTAACACGTGTGAGGTCGGTACAGACGGTGGAATTCAAGACCAACCACCCCTCCTCTACTGCCTTCTCTCTATAGACGTTCCTTGGGAAGCAAAGGCATGTGCTTCATTGCCTTCCTGTTCTTCCTCTCACACATCCTGTTCTATCTATCCTTGAGTAACTGTAGCTCGCAGGTCCGGGGGTGGGGTGGGGGAATTGGAAAATGTTGTTTGCTTCATCCTCCAAAGCCTAGCTAAAGGCCACCACCTCCAGGGAGGCCCCCAGATGATCCAGGACAGAAGAGACTGTGGAAACAACATTGCCCGATTGGCAAGAGGGGGTTGGCCACCCCGAGTCCCATCGACCTTGATGGACAAGGAACTCAGGGAGGAAGGACGGGCTCCACCCACATCTGAACCCCAGACTGAGTAGTGCAAGGAGCCCCTGTAGGCCAGCCTCCTTCTTCCCACTCCCTTCCTGCTTCTAAGAGCAAGAGGAAGCCTTCACACGTGGGGGAGGCAAGGCTGGGGGCGCTGGCTTTGGCAGCAAACTGGCTCCGCAAGGTGGGCTTTTTGTCTCCCAGAGAATGAATGTTTTCATCAAATTTTAAAGACTAACCTTTACATTTAAAAAAAAATGGTAAAGCTGTCATCCTACTTGGCTGCTTTAAAATAAACTAGGTTCCCACCCTGCCTGCACACTTGCTGGCCAGGCCCAAAGCTTGGGTAGCCGACAGCGCCCCTCCTGGGTCACACCCTCTCCTCCAGGATGCTCTCCTAGGGGCCTGCCGGCACACCCCGGGTCGCAGAGGTGCCCCAGCCGGTGTAGCAGCAGGCACTGGGCTCGGGGGAGGGCCCCAGCCGCGTGCAGGCCTCCAGAGCACTAATTACTGGTATTTATGGCACATTTTCCATGCTCCAGGCACCGAGCTGGGCTGGGAATGTATTGATCTCACTTGATCTTGATAAAGCCCAGGGGAGTGAGCTCTTCTGAGTTCTGTGTTGCACACATGGAGACCACAGCTCACACAAAGGAAGCACCCATGCCGCAGGTCCCAGCCAGTCTTGCCACTGGGCAGGTGCGTGCCTCTGAGTCGGCAGTCTCCACCCCAGCTTGCGGCCTCCACCCTGGCCGCTCATAACCACGGGAGATGTGTCTAGTCCTCTCAGTGAAATCCCAGGCTCTCCTGGACATGCCCCAGGGGCCTGCTGCTCTGCCACCTCACCAGGTGACGGGGTTCACACAGAACCGGGCTGCACAAACAGAACTAGCTGTGTCTCCGCCCCAAGGGCAGGGCACCAGACCTGGAGCCTCTTCCCTGCCTCGCTGCCCATGCCGGTGTCTGTGCCAGACCCCACCCCCTTCCACGAGGGCCCCAGGGAAGGAGAGGGGAAAGGCGGGGCGCTGGCCAGGCCCAGGGCCTAGAGATCAGGCTGTCCCTTGCAATACCCGGTACACACACAGCCAAGGGCTTCTCTTCCAACCAATGGCTCAGGCCTGCTCAAAATAGAGCGGCGCACCGTGAAATAGGGCTTTAAATTTTTAAGCAGCAACGCCATGGCCTGCGTAGGCAGAAAGGAACACTTCATGGCCTCATTCCCGGGCCCCCCTTAGAGCTTTCTGGAACCCACTTCCCAGTTCTCTACCCTCTCACTAGGCACCTCTGCCTGGGGCCCTGGCAGCCCCTCCAAGCTCATCCCCTTCCTCAATGCTGCTGAATAATTAAAGGCTCAATTAGACTTCTGTCTAGTTTGGTGTTAATAAATGTTCATGGAATCTGTTAAATGCATTTTAATTCGCTCCAAATGGTTTACTCAGGTGGCTGAAGAGGACAAACACGCTCCCCCAGCCTCAGTCTCCTCAAAGGTGAGCTGGTGCTGTGAGCAGCTTCTTCCAGCTTGGGTTCCAGCCCCCTTCCAGGGGTGCTGGGCACAGTGACAGCTCAGAGTCCTCTCAGTTTCTACTCTGTGCTCTCCCTGGGGTAATGGGGAAACTGGTTTCCCCCAGATGTGGGAGGCCAGGGGGTGAACTGCTCTCCAAATGTGGGTGAGGCCAGCCACCTCTGGCTGTACCACCTGCCCTGGCCAGAGAGCAGCAAAGAAAGTGTCCATCCTCAGGCCCCGCCCCCAAGCCCAGAGCACGCCCTACGGTATGGACAGGGACCTCTGCCCACCCTGCCAAGACCAACGTCCACCTGCAGAAAGTGCGGCCTTCCTGGTGTTTGGTGTGACCCCTCCCTGCAGTGTGCTACATGCAAACCCGTCCTCCTGGGGAGGGAAGGTGGGTGGGACAGGGGATCTCCCATCTTTCCTTCCCTCAGCAGTTCTGGGGACCCTCATGCTTGGAGGGTCATGACATACAGAGGAGAGCCTTGGTGGGAAGCAGAGGCCAAACAGAGGCACTAGGAGGGCGTGGAAGCCCATGCCAACCAGCTGTCCGGCCTGGAGACAGCAGACCCATGCTCCCTTCTGGAATCTGCGCCCCACCCCCACTCCCCCACACAGCTCCTGTGTGACAGAGTAAAATGCGCAACCAAGCCTGGCTGCTGACCCAGGTGGGCTCCAAGGTGACAGCATGTGTGCCTCAAGCCGCATTCATGGTGGTAGCCCAAGCCCTGGCCAGCTGCACCCAACAACTACACAGCAGGCAGAGCCTCCCAGCCTGTAAAGCCTGCATTGACAGCCTCCGTGGTCCTAAGCTAGACCAAGTGTCACTCAAAGAGACAGCATGGGGTGAGGGGGGCGGGGAAGACAGCAGTGCCCTGGCTCACTAAGCTGTCCCAGCTCCAGGGAAGCCTGCAGGGACCAGGAAGGGACTTATTCACCTCCTTACCTCCCCCGCCACACACCTGTCCATCTGTCCATCCGCCCACCCACTCATCTCCCTCTCACTCATTCCAATACTGAGCCAACAAAGGTCTAGGCTGCACCCTGCAGACCGGCTGGGCCTTTTGGTACTGCGTTAGGCCCATGAGTGCTTATGCACATGTGTACACACACACATACACACACACACATGAGCGCACGCCCATGCCCACGCCCTTGCCCCCACCCCCTACACGCACTCACCTTCTCCAGTAGCTGCCTCAGCTGCTTTGTGCGGGCATCCCGTGAACACATGGTCTGCTGGGGGGCCACCACGGTGCAGATACACCTGCCCTCGCTGTCCTGGGCAGAGCTGTACACCTGCCAGCTCTCCTCAGGGTTGGTGGGCAGCACCTGGAGGGAGGCAGGGGAGACGGGGAGATGGAGGAGAAGGTAAGACCAGGCATTAGAGGCAACCACCTAGAGGACAATGTGCATGTCCATCCTGGGGGAAAGACACACAGAAATGGGGCAAAGATACTTCAATATTCCCAGGAAAGGGGGTCCTGGGAACAAGGAGGCACTGATTAAGCACCAGGGTGGCCAAGAGAGGAAGGCAGAGAAGGACATCACTCTCCAGAGCTTTTACAATTCAAGTTCAACCCCAGGAACGCACGGTGTGTGGACATCTGTCTCAACTGACGCTCTGGGAGAAATGGGAGGGGCCAGCAGACGCCACCGCTGGATGAGGGGCAAGGCAGGAAAGCAAGTGGCTGGGTGACTCAGACATGGCGGCATACCAGCTTCCCCCTTCCCAATAAGCAGAGCACATCCAAGCTTTCCAGCGAGCCCTTGGGTGGCAGCCCCCATCCAGAGCTACTTTCCCAGAGCCACTTGGGCCGAGCACGCCACCTCCCCATTGGCATCATCCTGGCGAACACACCAGGCTCCCAACTCCACGCAGGCTCCCACCCACAAGCCATTTGGTGGATGCCGCTAAAGTGCCAATGACACAGGATGACACTGGTAACCTCGGAGCTGAGGCTCACCCAGAGACTGCCAAGAAGCCAGAGCTGTGCACAGCTGGTCTGCCCTGGGGAGCCCTGCTCAGGTGCCCTGCCTGCCGGGCACACCGGCAGAGGCCCCACACCCTCCTGCCCGCCAGCCCCTGCAGCCTGCCCCATCTCCAAGCATGCTCCCAGGTGACTGGTCACCTCCCTGCTATTTTTAGATGGGATGGGAGGAGGGCTGGGCGGGGCAAATGTGGAGTAGTGATCTATTTGGTTTCATTCATTTCCAAGCCCAGATGCTCAGGACTCCCGAGGCTGGGGAGAAAAGTCATTGTGAAGGAAAATGCAATTTTCAAACCAGGAGAGGTAGAAGGCACCGGGGTCCCAGGCTGGGGGCACGGCGGGAGCAGTCAGCCCTTGATGGCTGCGGGAGAGCGAGCGGGAGAGGATGCCCTCCATCGCCCCTCCTTTCCACTGAAGAGGGGCCAGGGCTTGGGCGCCTGGAGGGGGGGGGTCCACCTCAGCTCTCTCCAGCCCCACGACGCCAGGACCACAGCTCCCCCTCTCCCGCCCACAGAGGACCAAAGCAGAGCTGGCTCTCTGAGCCAGGAGGGAGGGCGGGCGGCGGTGAGCCCCTCTCCAGCCACCTCCAAGGGGACTCTGTGGACATTCGCACCCACAGGAAACAAGGGCGCCCTGGGACTTCGGAGACAGGAGGCAGGGCCCGCTCCTGGCCAGCCCAGCCGGGCTTTGGCAAAGTCGGGCAGCCGGAGTCCCGGCGGGGCAGAGGCCCCCCCGTCCAGCCGCGTCTCTCCCCCTTCCCTGCTCAGTGACCTTGGACAAGTCCCCGGGTCCCAGCCTCAGGTTCCTAAGCTTGGCGACCAAGAGCTTGCTCTTCTGGCTGAGGGAGGACGAGGCTTCAGACCCGCCCCCCGCAGGCTCCCGCAGACCCCTCCCCGGCGGCCCCCGGCGGGGACAGCA